CTCACAAGTTCCTACTGTCTCTGACCCAAGTACATCCACAAGGTGCACAGAAGAAATTTCATCTCTCCCATGTCTAGTTACATCAAAAGAATCCATACAAGTTCCTGATTGCTCTTCCGCAAGTACTTGGTCAGATGCCTTGGACGTTCCCTCCAGGAGTCACACTCTTTTAGTGAGTAAATTCACACAAGTTCCTGAGTTCTCTCATCTACCTTCATCAACTATTGGCACAGAGGAAGTCATATCTTTCCCAGCTCCATTTTCATACAGAGAATCCATACTAGTTTCTGATTTTTCTGACAGGAGAGCGCCACAAGAACCCGTGCAAACTCCCTCTGCCAACCTTGATATGGCAGTGAGCAAATCCTCCGAAGTTCCTACTGTCTCTGACCCAAGTACATCTGCAACATGCATAGAAGAAATTCCATCATTCCCAGTTGTAGTTCCATCCAGAGGATCCATGCAAGTACTTGATTTCTCTGATAAAAGTTTACCTCAGCAAGCCATGAAAGTTCCCTCCACCATTCACACTGTTTCACTGAGCAAATCTACAGAAGTCACTGCTTTTTCTCACCCAAGTTCATCAACCATTTACCTAGAAGAAGTTCTGTCTTTCTCAGGTCCATTTTTATCTAGAGAATCCATACAATTTCCTGATTTATCTGATATAAGTTTACCAAGAGGAATCATACAAATTCCATCTACCCATTATGCTCTTGCTGTGAACAAATCTACTCAGGTTCCTTCTTTCTCTGATACAAATTTATCAACCATAAATACAAAAGATATTTCATCTTACTCGGTTCCAACTTCATCAAGAGCTTCTACGCAAGTTTCTGACATAAGTTTTCTAAGAGAAGCTGTACAAATTCCTGCTACCTACTCTGCTATTGCTATTTGCAAATCCACACAAATTCCAACCTTCTCTTCCCAAGGTTCATCCATAATATGCATAGAAGATGCTCCATCAGCTTCACCCAGAGAATCCCTACAACTTCCTGATTTTGCTGACACAAGACCACCAACAGAAGACGAAGAAGTTCCCTGTGCCTCTGGTACAATTTCTCTAAGAACACCCACACAAGCCCCTCCTTTCTTTAGCACAAGTTCATCAAGCATAAATATAGGAGATGTTCCATCATTCGTAGTTCCAGTTTCATCAAAAGAGTCCAAACAAGTTCCTGACTCCTCTGACATAATTTCAAAAAAACTTAAACAAGTTCCCTTGGCCTCTAATACTATTTCAATGAGCAAATTTCCACAAGTTTCTTCCTCCTTGGTATTATATACACCAAACAAATCTATCCAATTTCCCTCTTTCTCAGGTCTCATTTCTTTGAGCCAGTCTGTGCAAGTTCCTTCTATCTCTAGCACAAGTTCAGCAAGTGAGTCTATGAGAGTACCCTCTCTGTCAGAGTCATATTTGGCAGAATTGTCCAAGGAATTTCCCACTTTACCTAGGGAAATTTCATTGAGCAAACACGGGCAAATTCCTTTTTTCTCTGGCACAGTTACATCAAGAGAACACCCAGGAGTTTCCTCTATTTCAGACCAACATTCAACACAAGAATCAGTGGAAATTCACTCGGTCTCAGGCTCAACTTTGACAAAAGAATCTATGGATATTTCCTTTTTATTAACATTGCACACAGAGGAAGACCCCATTCAAGATCATTCTGTCTCTTATTCAAGGTCAGTAGGAGAAAAAGATGCTGTTATCTACAGTCAAAGTTCAGCAAGAGAAGCTACGGAAGTTTATACTTTCTCTGCCCCTACTGCCCCAAGTAAATCTTTACAAGTTCCTTCTTTTTCTGGCACAAATTTTCAAACTCTTTGTCTCTATGGTCAAAATTTAGAGAGCAAGTCCATACAATTTCCTTCTTTCTCAAGGGCCTGTACTTCAAAAGAATCTGTGGAAAATCCAGCATTTTCTGTGACAACTTCAGAGGGAGAATCAATACAGGGTCTATCCTCTTTTCCAAATTTAGTAAGAGAATCCTTTGAATTTCCCATTATCTCTGGGCCAAGTTCCACAAGAGAATCCTTACAAGTTCCTCTTCTTTCCACATTAACTTCTTCCAAAGAAACAAAAGAAGGTCAGCAATCACCTGGCTTACAGTCTCCAGTGGAATTTGCAAAAGATGATGGTACTCGGTCAGCACAACCTTCCCCAGCTGCCAGTCCTAGACTACTAAGTAAGACTTTTACATATCCTTATTGCTCTGGACCAAGCATATCCCAGCATTTCATGGAAGTTCCTGATTTTTCTGTGCCAACTTCACATAAAGAATCAACACAGGCTCCTGCTTTATCTAGCCCAAATTCAATAAGGGAATCCTTTGAATTTCCTACTATCTCTAAGTCAAGTTCAACAAGAGAATCCTTTGCAGTTCCCTCTCTCCACACCTCCAGTTCTTCAAGAATATCTGCACATGTTCCTACTTCTTCTGGCCTAAAATCACCAACAGAATATGGAGAGAGTGAGTGTGCTCATTCTCCTAATCCAAGCTCACCAAGGGGATCTGCACAGCCTTCTCCTATTACTAGCCCTAGATTACTGAAAAAGCCCACGCTATCTCTTTTCTCAGGACCAGGTGTTCTAAAACAAGTAACAGATGATCCTTCCTCTTTTATGTCAAGTTCACAGAGGCAATCCATACAAGATTCTGCTTTATCTTCCTCAAATTCACTGAAAGAATCCATAGATGTTGTCCCTGCTTCCACTTTTAGTTTGTCAAGAGGAGCTACAGAAGTTTTTCCTTCTTCTGTTGTAAAGTCATCAATGGAATTTAAAGAGACTGAGACTGTCTATTCCTCCCCAAGTTTCCCAAGAGAACGTGCACAACCTTCCCCTAGTACCAGTCCTAGATTATCAAGTAAATCATTACCACTTCCTCCTTTTTCAGAAACAGGTATATCAAAACAATCCATGGAAATGTCTCCTTCCACCTCAAGGTCAAGGCGAGAATCTATACAAGGACCTGCTTTCTTTGTCCCAAACTTCATGAGTGGATCCCTTGATTTTCCAATTATCTCTAGACTAATTTCAGTAAGAGAATCATTAGACATTCCCCCTCTTTCCACTTCAATTTCCTTCAAAGGCTCTGTGGACAGGCTTTCTTCTTCTGGCCTAAAGTCACCAACAGACTATTCAGAGAGTGAGACTGCCCATTCTCCAAGGTCAAGTTCACCAAAGGAGCCTATACAAGTTTCCCCTACAACCAGCCCAAATTTAGTGAGTATATCAATGCAATTTCCTTTATCAGGGCTAAGTTCACTGAGAGAACCTTCAGCAGTTTCTCTTACCTCTCCTTCCACTGTCTTGAGACCTGCAATAGAATATTCTGAGAACGAAATTGTGCACTCTGCTAGCCCAAGTTCACCAAAAGAATCCAAAAAACCACCTCCTTCTTTCAGTCCAAATTTAATTAGTAAATACACACAAATTACTCCTATTTCAGAGTCAAATGTGGCAAAAGAATCTATAGAATTTCCTGATTTCTCTGATTCAAGTTCACAGAGAAAATCCATACAAGGTCCAGCTTTCTTTGACTCAAACTCCATGACAGAACCCTTTGAGTTTCCCATTCTCTCTGGAGCAACTTCAACAAGACAGTCTTTGGATGTTCCCTTTTTTTCTCCTTCAAGTTCTTTGAGAGGATCTACAGAAGTGTTTCCTTCATCTGGCTTGAGGTCCCCAACAGAATATGCAGAGGGTGAGAGAGCCCATTCTCCTCGCCCAGGTTCACCAAAAGAATCTAGACAACCTTCCCACCTTTCAAGCCCAAATTTAGGGAGTAGATCTATGCAATTTCCTTCCTCCTTAGGCCCAAGTATATCAAAACAATCAATGGAAGTTCACGTTTCCTCGATGTTAAGATCACAGAGAGAATCCATACAAGACACAGCTTCATCAGCCCCAAATTCACTGAGAGACTCCTCTGAATTTCCCATTCTTTCAGACCCAGGTTCAACAAGAGAACCTTTAGAAGTTCTTCCCTGCTATTCTAGACCAAATTCAACAAAAGAATCTTTACCAGTTATTCCAATTTCTGACTTGACATCAGTAAAAGAACCTGAAGAGGACAAAATTTCTGCTGCAGTCAGCCAGCATTCAGTGAGTGATGTCATGGAAGCTCTAGCACTCATGGGTCTAAGTTTCAAGACAGAATTCATGCAAGTTCATCCTCCCTTGATTCTCAGTCATCCACAAGAATTCCCTGAAGATCTCCATGTGCCCAGTAGAGGTTCACAGAGACAATTCATTCAAGTTCCTACTTCTCCTAGCCAAAGTTCACTGAAAGAGTATATGAATCTCTCTCCATCCATCATCTCCCAGAGAGAATCCATTCATAATTTTGCTTCTTCAAGTTCTCTGAGAAAGTCCACTAGTATCAGCTCCCAGAGGGAATCTGATCATGTTTCTGATTTGTCCAGCTCAAGTTCACAGACAGAGTCCATGGGTCTCCCTCCCTCCACCATCAGCTCCCAGAGAGAATCCACTCAAGTTCTTTTTTCTTACAGTGAAAGTTCACAGAAAGTCTCCAAGGATCATCCTTCCTCCACCATCAGCTCAGCAAGGGAATCCATTCAAGTTACTGATTCTTTTAGCCTAGCTTCAAACAGAGAGGCCGTGGGTTTCCCTCTCTCCAGTAGCAGTTCCCAGAAAGAAGCTATTCAAATCCCCGCTTCTTGTGGCCCAAGTTCACAGGAAGAGTTAACAGAAGTTCTTCCATCCTCCAGTCCAATCTCCCAGAGAGAATCCATGGAAGTTTTTACCTCATTTGGTCTTGGTCCATCAGAGGATTCCATGCAAAGTCCCCTTTCCTCTGCCCGAAGTTCACTAAAAGATTTCATAGATGTTATTCCTTTATCTGGTCCAGATTCATCAGAAGAATTTGTGGGCACTCCTCTTTCCCTTGGCCAAAGTTACCCGCAAGATTTCATTGATGATGTTCCTTTGTCAGGCCCAGTATCATCAGAAGAATTCACAGATGTTCCTGCTTCCCCTTCCCCAAGTACAACAAAAGATTTCACTGAAATTATCCATTTCTCAAAGGTTTTGCCAAAAGAATCCATACACAATTCTCTTTCCTCTGAGTCCAGTTCAATGGGAGAATTAACACAAGCTCCTACTGCTTCTAGAGAACGTTCACTTAAAGAATACTTTGAAATTCCCCCTTTTCCAGGATCAATTCCATCAAGAAAATCTATCCAAACCCATGCTCCAACTTCAAGTTTATCAAAAGATTATGTGGATGAATTCTTTGACATTCAAGTTCCCTCTTGCTCTTCATATCATCAGAGAGAACCTATGCAAGTGCCCTTTTCCCCTTGTCCAAGTTCAGTGGATAAATTTATTCAACCATCTTCAGACCCCAAAAAAGAAAAACCTGTCAAACTTACAAAACCTTCCAAAGAAGAAAGAGAACCCATGCAGATCCCATAATGTTAATGGAAAGAAACTCAGTTAAACATTAATGTTTCCAAGTCCCCTCCATCCACTCACACCAATGTATTCAAGTCCACTAAGCCATATATGGTACTATACTAGGACTCTAAGACTTCAGCAGAAAGCAAAACAATCAACAGCTTTGGTCCTAAATAAAATCAAATAAAACTAAGTAAAATTTATCAAACTCTAATTGAGACTTTTATTTAGTAAAGAAATCTCCATATTGATTTTATGATACTTAACAGGTGCTTATTTTAAATAAAGGATACTCAATCCTTGCAGCAGCTAAGAGGTGTAGCAGATACAGTGCTGGGCCTGAAGTCAGAAAGACTTATTTTCTCAAGTTCAAATCTGGCCTCAAACACTTAATGTGTGACCCTGGGCAAGTCACTCAACCCTGTTTGCCTCAGTTTCCTCATCCATAAATGAGTTGGAGAAGGAAATAGTAAACCACTCCAGTGTCTCAGTCAAGAAAACCCCAAATGGAGTCATAAAGAGTCAGACATGACTGAACAACAATCCTTGCAGTTGAATACTAAATGAACCAATGTTCCTCTAACAATGACTCATTTTTTGTCCATTCTTTCTCCAGTGTCCAATAAGCCAGACAGAAAGCCCAAGCACTTATTGCTTTCTACAATCCATAAAAGGGCTCAAGAATGGGTGGATGGATACAGATAGGTCAATGAAAGGAAAACTCCCATTTTTTTCCTTCTTTACTTTTTATGACTCTGGTAGTCTTTGTCTTTCTGTTGTGCTTTTCTGTTTTCTGCCTTTGCCCCTCTCTCTTATTCCTCCCTTCTTTCTCTATTCCCTTCTTTTACTTGTCTCTCCTTCATTTTCCTTCTCCTTTCCTGTATCATTACCTTCCCTCTTTCCTTTTCTATTTTCTCTACCTTCTTTTTGTATCTCCTTTATTCCAACTTTCATATTTCTTTTCTTCTTTTTCTTCCTTCTCTCCTTTCTTTACTTCTCCTCCCTCCTTCCACTCCTTCCTTCCATATCTTCTAGTTCTCTTTACCTTTTTTCCTTTTCCCCTTCTGCTTTCCCATGCTTTTGTGTTTCAGAATCATTAAGAATATAATATGTGAAAATCACTGTGATACACAGAAAAATACAAAAAGCATTTACATAATCTATGAAAGTCCCCTCTATCTTACAGACGGATCTCAGCAGCCACCTAGCCTAATATGTACATGAAGAAAAATTCCTTTAAAAAAATAGTCATCTAGTCTCTGTTCCAACAAAGGAGAAAACACTACCTCCTAAGTCAATTCATTCCATCCTCCAGCAGTTCCAACTTTCAGTAATAAAGTAGTAATAAAGACAAAGTCCCTTTGTCCAGAGAATTTACAAACTGGCAGGGAACCTTGTGAGGGGAGGGATTTAGTAATATACAATAAATATAAGAAAGTATAAGAGAGTTTTAAAGCATTATTAAAGGTCTGAAGAATGATCATTTCTGACTGGAGTATCAAGTTTCATGGAGGTCATTTGAGCTGGACTTTGAAGGATAGGTAGGGTTCGAAAGTATTCTAAGCACGGACTGAAAAGCAATGGAAGGAACATAATATAGTCCAGCCTAGCTGCAGAATAGGGCTCATGGAGGGCAATTGTGGGAGATAAGGGTAAGATTAACAAAATTAAGTTAAAAAGAAAAGTTAAGTTCTACACTTAATGTTAAGTTCAAAAAAGCAAGTGCATAAGTACACAATAGAGAAGACAGACAAAAGCTGTTCATTTGAAAAAAATACCACCTCTATGTTATAGTGAACAGCCAATTCACTGAGGCAAGATTGCAAGAGGGCAGCCACAAAAGCTAACACATCTAATCTTGGTCTGCATTGATAAAAGGAGACAGACTGTGAGCTCCTCCAGTAGACTGGAGTGAATAGTGGAGTAAGAAGATAGCCCTTGAGGGCAGGGACTTTTTGTTTTGGTTTAATTTTTGCCTTTTTTTGTATCACCAGTGCTTACCACTGTACCTTGCACACAGTTGATTGGCTGGCATCCTTTGTTCTCAAAGAGGACCAAAATGACATCACGATGTTAAAGTCTAGTTACAGTATGTCCGGCTGGGGCTGCTCAGACCAATACAAGTTCAGAAAGCTCTACCACAGGACGGGCACAAATACTGCATGTGAACATTTAGGATGAATTCTATAAATTTGTGTATATTGTGTTTCTTTTGAGCCACTTTGATTCTGCTTTATTCATAGAGTAAAGTGCCTTCTTTGATGCGGGTATGCCATGCTGAGCAGTCCTTTGCCAGGGTCTCCCATGTCACACAATCAATTCGAAAGTTTTTCAGAGATACTTTGAGAGTGTCTTTGTATCGCTTCTTCTGACCACCGTGTGAGCAACTGCCTTGTGGGAGATCTTCATAAAATAGTCTTTTAGGCAAGCATATGTTTGGCATTTAAACAACATGGCCAGCCCATCAGAGTTACATTCTCTTCAGTAGAATTTGAATGCTTGGCAGTTTAGTTCAAGAAAAGACCTCTCGTCCAGAACCTTATCCTGCCAGGTGATCTTCAGAATCTTCCTAAGTCAAGTCAAATGAAAGCAATTCCATTTCCTGGCATGGGGAAATTCAGAATCTGCTAAATGAAAAACAAAAACTCCACAAAGTTTACCAGCAGGATAGATCATCTATCTCTAAGAAAGCAGCATTTAACTCCTTCAAAAGTAAAATACAAGTGAAGGCTTAGATGCAGGATTCTTGGCTCAGTAAAAAGGAAGATGAAATTCGGTTTTACACAGATAGTAACAATCCAAAGTGCTTTTATGATGCCCTGAAGGCTATTTATGGGCTAAAGATGTATGGTGCATCTCAACTACTCAGCGCTGATGGAGCCACATTGATTAGTGATAAGGACATGATCCTGGAGAGATGGGCTGAACACTTCTATAGTGTTAATAGACCATTATCAGTCAATGGTGAAGCCATTAACTGTTTACCTTGGGTTGAAGTCAATCCCTCTCCAGCCCGATTTCCAACTAAAGAAGAGGTTTTGAATGTCATTAGGCTCCTCTCCTGTGGCAAAGAGCCTGGTGCAGACTCTATTCCAGCTGAGATTTACAAAGTGGGAGGTCCATCGCTCATGCAAATTTTCCGGGTTATACGGCAAGAGGAGGTTATCCTCCAGGAGTTCAAGGATACTACCATTGTCTATTGCTATAAACTAAAGGAAACAGATAGTCCTGTGACAATTACATGGGGTGTCTCTCTTAGTCATTGCTGGCAAGATTCTTGCCACAGTCCTCCTTAACAGGTTGATCCTTCACCTGGAAGATGACTGCCTACCTGAGAGCCAGTGTGGCTTGCATACAGTAAGTATTTAATAAAGGCTTGTTGATTAGAGCACCCAAAACAAGAAAGGTAATATAGCCCTGTTTTGTTCCCTCCTACTCAGCCCACCTCAGCACACCTCTTCCAGCTTTTGAGTACTGCCTTTGCAAAGAGACACTGACAAGCTGGAGCGTTTCCAGACAGAGAACCGAACAATGCTCTAAAACCAGGATGAGGAACCGACGGCCTCGAGGCCACAGGTGGCCCTCCAGGTCCTCAAGTATAGCCCTTTGACTGAATCCAAACTTCACAGAACAAATTCCCTTCATAAAAGGATTTGTTCTGTAAAACTTGGACTCAGTCAAAAGGCCACACCTGAGGACCTAGAAGGCCACATGTGGCTTCGAGGCCACAGGTTCCCCACCCTTCTGACCTAAATGGATTCCTTAAAGGAAATAAGGATTTTAGCCTAGAAAAGAAGACTTAGAGAAGACATGATGACTACCTCTAACTATTAAAAAGACTCTTACCCAGAAGAGGTGCTTAGCACAGGGTCTGGCACACAGTAGGTACTTTATAAATATTTGCTAATTGATTGATAAGAGGAATTAAATTCATTCTGTGATTCCAAAGGGCAGAATTAGGGCAGATAAGAGCTCCTGCCCAGATGGTACTTGCAGGCTCACAAGGCACTTTTTCAAAACCACCTTTTGTGGTGAGTAGTACAGAGAGAATTATATCCATTTTACAGATATGGAAATTCAAGGTAATAGAGGTATTGTAAACTGCCCAATATCACATAGCTGGCAAGTAGAAGGGATGGTGTTTCAGCCCAGACCTTTGAACTTTAAGATCAGTCTTCTTTGCACTACAACACATTGCCCCCAACTGGCCAGAGTTATGGGGGGGGGGGCAGAATTTGGCTCTTTATAAGGAAGAACTGCCTAACAATTCGTAATATATGAGAAAAGAATTCCTTTTTGACAGGAATGAAAGATGAACAACTTGGGAGGACATTTTAAGTGACACTGAGGAGATTGCTTCATGAGTCACTCACTCATCAATGGAAGCATTCCAATAGAAGCTGAGTTTACTTGCTAGGGATATTGTATATGACATTGGTGCTTTGAATAAGAATTGGAGTAAATGATTTCTGAAGTCTCCTTTAACTCTAGATTTTGAGGATTTTATGAAGTCATTTTTATAAATTTACTGTGGAGCATATGCATATCAAATGACTAGATATTCACATTCGTATCCAGGGCAGCCCCTTCTCAATACCAAGGGCCTGATGTAATGAATGAAAAATCCT